TGGGGCGCAGCGATCGCGGGGAACAGCGCTCTCAAGGAGGCCCTCGTTCGCTCCTTCTCCGACGAGGTGATCGAGTGGATGCCAGTGGAGATCTACTCGGTGACGGCTCTGTGGGACTTGGCGGAGTTCTACGACACTCTGGAGCCCCTCCTCGTCCTGGACGAGGGGCTCAGGCTCGGGCTTCCAGCTCGCGCTTTGCACCTGGAGATGCTGAGCCACCTCAGCGCGCGCCTCATCAGAGAGAGGACGGCCTACGCAGAGCCGATCGCGCCTGACAGGTTGATCTGCGCGGGCGCGAGGCGAGGCATCGACTTCGGCAGGGTCGCGCTCTACGGCGTGCTGGAGCGGGTGAGCGCAAAGTACGAGCAGGTGCGAGTGCGATCGTGGGTCGACGACGTCACGAGGAGGATGGAGGGCTCCATGAGGGAGGTGATCAAGCAGCTGACTGGCGCTGGTGTTGATTTCGCAGCTGGCGTGAAGAAGTCGAAGCTGACGCTCTCCACCAAGTCGGCGTTGTTCGGCAACGACATGGACGTGGTGAAGGAAGTGGCCCTCAAGCTGCGTGCGCGTATGGTTACGGTGAAGGTGAAGAGCCAAGCGCCCGACTTGGGCACCGACCGCGGCCACAGCATCGCGGGCGGCAAGGGCAAGCATGCGAGGAGGGTAGCGCATGCCGGCAGACAGGTTGCACGCGCCTTGAAGATGGCGCGCAGCGGAAGGCGCGCTAGAGGCGGCGCACGGGCAGTGGTGCAGCGCGGGTCCTTGCCGCGCGCCGCCTACTCGTGCGCGGTGTGCGGGATGGCAACCAGCACCGTGTTGAAGTGGAGGAGGAGGCTAGCAGCGGTCATCGCCCCGAAGCTCCGGGGACGGTGCCTCACGACGCTGCTCAGCATCGAGATAGCGAAGGGTGACCCCGCGTTCGGAGCCGTTTTCGCGCTGCTGGACTCGTGGATGCACATCATCAGCGACAAGATGAGGAGGCAGAAGGTCAGCATCATTTGGCCGCGGATCGTCGAGAAGGTGTCGAAGCTGGACCCGAAGAAGCGCTGGAAGGGGGTGACGGGCATCACCAGAGCGATGGTCAACACCTTGCTGGACATGGGCTGGTCGATGCTGGGGCCGTGGCACTGGGTCTCGGACGACGGCGAAGAGTTCGGCAGCGACGCCCCCACGGCGCTCGACGGCGACGTGGACACCAGCGACCTGAAGCAGGCGATCGCCAGCACCATCGAGAGGAAGCAGTGGCAGCAGGCGGCCAAGCACTATGCGGGAGGTGGCCTGGAGACGGGCGTGGACATGCGCTCAGCGAGGTCGCTCATCAAGAAGCTCAAGAGGAAGGGCGGGTGCGACAAGGTCGGCGCGCACTTGGTGTGCATGACGGGAGGAGTCTGGCCGCGGCAGCGCGTGGCCGATCTCGGGCTGGAGATCGAGGACGTCACCTGCCCACGATGCGGTGAAGCACCAGAGACTTGGCAGCAACGCATGTGGGAATGTAAGTGCAACATGCTGATCGAGGCTTGCCAGAAGTCCAAGCACTTAGAGGAGAAGGCAGCGCGCGGCGTTGGGGAGCTGCCGTGCCTGTGGCTCAGGGGCATGTTGCCGAAGAGTTGGACGCAGGTTACACCCCCTCCAGAGCCAGGGACGGAGTTACGCGAGCAGTTCGGCAACCTGGAGCACCTCAGGGTCACCGCCCCCTCAGGCACGCACCGCCCACCCTCCCAGCCTGGTTTGCAATGGAGGGCAGGGAGTACCGACCTGGGGGAGGCCAACCCAGAGGACGACGGAGGCTGGCTCATCGCTGCAGGCGACGCGTCAGGAGGCGAGTACACCATGGACCCTAGGCTCAGGCGAGTGGCTTGGGGCTGGGTCGTGCTGCAGCCAGAGAGCGTGAACGAGCCGTTGGTGGTGGCAGGTGCGCGCGCCGCTCTAGGCGGCTGGCGGCAGAGCGTCAACCGCGGCGAGCTGGCGGCGTTGAAGGAGCTGATGGTGGCCACTGCCAGCTACAAGAGAGGGCAGTACATCGCGGACTCGTCCTACGTCATGCGCGGCGTCGAGAAGATCCGCAGAGGCAAGATGCCCAAGACTCATGTGGACTTGTGGAACGAGCTGAAGGCGGCCATGGTCGGCAGGGAGTTGTGGTTGGTCAAGGTCGAGAGCCACATGTCCGCGGCAGAGGCAGTGGCGGCAGGCGTCGACCCGATCAGCTACCTGGGCAACTCGCTCGCGGACAGCTTCGTGGACGGCATCATCGAGCGGGTGCAGGTGCCGCGCGGAGACGCACTCAGGGTCGGTTGGTGCGACGGGATCGCCTCGCTCATCAGGGACAGGGGCTACGCGACGCTGATGGCAGCCATAGAGGCGGTGCCGTCGATGGCGCCAAGCAGGCCCCAGCGCCACGAGGCGTACCTCAAGAAGCAGAGGAGGAAGGAGCGCCTCGCCAACACGCAGCACGTGATCGAGGAGGTCAATGACGGCAAGCACTTTCGCTGCACTCGTTGCGGCAGCCTGGTGCCCGTCGTCGGCGCGGACACGGACAAGTGGCTGGAGGGCGAGTGCGTGATGCTGGAGCGTGAGCAGGCGTCGGAGTTCGGAGCCTCGTCGTCGGGGGTGCAGGTCGGCCATCAGAAGGCCCGCCCCTCGCACCAGCTGAATTTCAACGAGGAGCTCGGCGTGCACTACTGCCTGAAGTGCGGGTGCATCGCGCGGGAGATCATGCGTTCTCTCGCGATGGAGTGTGGAGAGCTGAAGCAGATGGGCAATCAGAACCTGTCGCAGATCAAGAAGGGGCTCCAGCCTGGCACGAGCAAGTTCGCGCGGGACTGGAACCGCAGGAAGAAGGAAGCGTTGGGCTGAGCTGCGCGCCGTTTGCGCGCCGCTCTCGCCCGTCGTACTGCCCCCAGCCTGGGGGGCCAGCGCCGCGGGCCAGGTCTTACAAAACAAAAAAGTCGTCGTCGTCGGCGTCGTCGGGCGGGACCCTGACGGGCGGGGCCCTAACGGGCGGGGCGGGCGGGCGGAACCCTAACGGTGCGGTCGGGCGGGCGGGGCCATGGCGGGTTTGTCGGGCGGGCGGGGTCATGGCGGACCGTTGGGCGGGCGAGGCCCTGGCGGGCGGGTCGGGCGGGCGGAGGATTAAAACGAGCGGGCGGGCTTGCCAACGCGCGAACGGGTGGGGCCCTAACGGGCGGGACCCTAACGGGCGGGTCGGGTGGGCGGGGCCCTGGCGGTACGGTCGGGCGGGCGGGGCCATAACGGGCGGGTCGGGCGGGCGGGGCCATAACGGGATGGTCGGGCGGGCGAGGCCCTAGCGGGCGGGTCGGGCGGGCGGAGAATTGAAGCGAGCGGGCGGGCTAGCCAACACGCGAACGGGCGGGACCCTAACGGGCGGGACGGGCGGGTCGGACCTTAATTGGACGGTCGGGCGGGCGGGGCTTTAACGGGCGTGTCGGGGCCATTCTTGGCGGGTCGGGCGGGCGGGACATTCAAGCGGGCGGGGGGCTACCAGCATGCGAGCACATTGGACCCAAACGGGTGGGTCGGGCAGGCGGGACCCTGACGGGCGGGTTGGGCGGGCGGGACATTAGAGTGAGCGGGCGTGCCAGCACGCGAGTGTACTGGACCCAAACGGGCGGGTCGGCCGGGCGGGGCCCATCACGGGCGAGTCGGCGGGCGGGATATTATATAGCGAACAGGCGGGCTAGCCAACGCCGAGCGGACGGACCCTGACGGGCGGGTCGGGCGGGAGGGACCTTAACGGGACGGTCGGGCGGGCGGGACCCAGACGGGCGGGTCAGGCGGGCGGGGCCCTGACGGTCGGGTCGGGCGGGCAGGGCCCTATGGGCGGATCCGGCGGGCGAGACCCTAACGGGCGGGTCGGGCGGGAGGGACATTCAAGCAGGCGGGGGGGCCAGCACGCGAGCGCAGTGGACCCAGACGACGACGACGACGACCACGACCATGACGACGACGACGACGACGAGGACCATGACCACGACCACGACCACGACCACGACCACGACCGCGACCATTAGGACCACGACCACGACCACGACCGCGACCATGACCACGACGGCGACCACGACCACGACCATGACCACGACCACGACTACGACGACGACGACGACCACGACCACAACGACGATGAACGCGACCATGACCATGACCATGACCATGACCACGACGACGAGGAATACGAAGACGACGACGACGAACAACGACGGCGGCGACGGGCGGGTTTGCGAAACCAGCCGTCGGCGAAACCAGCGGGTGGGTCGGCGAAACCAGCTGGGCGAAATCAGCGTCGTCGAAACCAGCCGTCGGCAAAATCAGCCAGGCGAACCAGCCGGGCGGAACCAGCCGGCGCGTCGGCGAAACCAGCTGGCGAACCCAGCCGCGCGAAACCAGCCCGGCGAAGCCAGCCGTTTGCGAATCCAGCCGTCTTCCATTCGGTCAGGAGAGGCAGTACGCCGATCGTTGAGATTCTGGGGGAACCCCTAGCGTCCAGCCGATGGTGTCTCCCTTTGACAGAGCGGGCCTCGCTGTTCGTTTTCTCACGTTGAAATGGGAGACGTGTGCGTGTGGGCCTGCTTGAATTGCCATCTGAAGATAATTATGCAGGCCATGCGGAAAGGGCCATGGGGGAGCTTGCTGCTGTGTGTTCCAATTATTGCTTCGTGCGGTATTGCTCATGACAGTAGACTCAGTGATTGTACTATACGCGGCCACTTCCTAGATTTGTTGCATTTGGCGAGGCAGGTTGAAGTATTAGCTATGTGACTGCTTTGTATGTTCGAACGCGTAATGCACGGTTCCCTTTGCTCAACACAGCAATTGTTTCCTGAGCTTGTGCAGTACTGTTTTTCCACTGACAAGCTGCATGTATCAGTGAGTCAATGAGCAATCATGGTTTCACTGTACAGCTACACCCGTGTGTTGCAGGATGTGGGCGTGGCAGCGCACTCAGTGAACCAGCGCCATGTAGTTCTTTGCAAAGCTGCCAGCAGGCCGTGGAGGACGAATTGAACTTGGCAGCTTCAGTCGACAAGGCCAGCCTTGTCAATAAGCTCGCTTCACTCTGTGATTGGATCAGGCGCACATTCATAGATTGACGCTTCGTGTGCCCCCGCCCGAGTGTAGGATCGTGCAGCGGAACATCTGAGCTGCTCAGGTAACCTCGGGAGGGCCCTCGGGGCTCGCGTGTGATACGAACGCCTCTGCGTATGCTACGAACGCCCGTGTACGAATGCCCTCTCTCGGCCCTGCCGAGCCCTCTGGGCCATTCTGGAGGATGTCGACCCAAAAGGACGCGGCGCCGAGTAGCGCTGCCCCTGCGGATCAAAGAAGGGGGGGTTCTTGATTAGCGTCGCCCCTCTCGAGTGCCTCGAATCGCCTGTTGGCCCCCCCCCCCCCAGAGGCCAAAATCCTTCCAAAACCTAGGTGAAATCAAGGTGTTGTGCTTTTTCGCTTTTTCGCTCTTGGAGCCGTCTTGGGCCATCTTGGACGTCCCGACGCGTCGCGAAACGCCCCGTCCAGGTCAGTGGGGAGGGGTAAGGGGAGGGTAAACCCCTCCCCGAAGGGAAACAATGGGGGTTGGAAGAGGAAGCTCTCTAGACCACCGACGCCCTAAAGGGCTGGTGGGATTACCGAGAGGCCCCCAGAGCTCTCGAGAGGGCCTGGGAGCTCCCGAAGGGGCTTCTGTGAGCTTCCGAAGAGGTATCTGAGACGTCCAGAGAGATCTCCGAGAGGCCTCTGAGATTTCGTGAGAGGCTTCTGAGACCGTCCGAGAGGCCTGTGAGATTGGTCGAGGCGCCTCTGAGAGCACCCGAGAGGCTTCAGAGTTCCTGGGAGGCTCCTGAGAGCCCCCGAGAGGCTTCTGAGAATTCCCGATCGGCCTCGGAGTGCCCCGAGTGAGACCTCAGAGAGCTCCCGAGAGGCCTCTTGGATTTCCCGAGAGGATCTTGTGCGCGTCCGAGAGGCTTCAGAGAGCTCCCGCGATGCTTCTGGGCATTCTTTAGAGGTCCCGAGAGGCCTCTGGGCATTCCTTGCAGGTTTCTGAAAGCTCCCGAGAGGCCCCTGGGAGCTACCGAAAGGTTTCTGAGATCTTGTAGGGCCGTCTTGAGGGCCCTTTGGGCAGTCTTCAAGTTTGCTCGGGGTTTTCGTGAGGCGTTTCGACAGCCTTTTGGGCCGTCTTGGAGCCGTCATTTGAATCTGCGGGGCCATTTTTGACGCTTGCCAGAAGGGGAAGGCTCCGGCGCATAAAAGAGACATACTTACACCCAGCGTAGTATGTTCACTAGGGCCTGTCGGGATCCCCTTGGGGGAGCCATCGTGGTCCTCGCGGGCAGTCCTGGGGGCCGCTTGGAGCACGGCGAGCGAGGAGATGCTGATGACCGCGGCGATGGCGGCGATGGGGTTGATAATACGAATCAGGCGGAGGATGGGGGGGATGTGAGCTTTGCATGGCTCAGCCGGGCTTGACAGAACCCAGAAGGGCTTAGCAGGGCTTGCCACAACTCACCAGGACTTACCAGGGCTTGCGAGGGCTTATCCAGGTTTGGCAATGCTTACCAAGGGCCAGCAGGGCTTTGCCCTGTTTGGCAGAGTTTAGCAGAGCTTAGCGGGGCGAAGAGCAGCTGATAGTGATGGAGATGGTGATGGTGATGCTGCTGCTGATGATGATAATGGTGAGGAGGAGAAGGAGGAGGAGGAGGGAAAGGAGGAGGACCAGTATACACCCAAGACGCTTCAACGAGGTTGCAATAAACCCTGGCTCCAAGTTCCCTCTTCGTAGGTGCGGGGACGAGCCCCGTCGGAAAACAACCGTATGATAATCTTCGATCGTGCCAGGACGTAACTCTTGGGACTTCAGTTCCACGAGTCAACCTGGTTGTTGCGTCCCGACAATCCGAAGCCGTGCCAGAACACCGTTTGGGGGACTTCAGTACCGCGAATCAACGTGAATATCGCGTCCTGACAATCTGAAATCGTACTCCTGGGACTCCAACCTTACGATTTTGTGAATCTGCCGCAGCCTTTCAATGACGAGTGTGCGCGGCGCTAAAGCGATAATCACATGTTGGAAACGGGCCGCCTTCATTTGAGAGGCTGCTGCCGGCTCTTAACACGAGTGTGCGCGACTCTAACGCGACAGCCACATGTTGAAAACGAGCCGCCCTCCAATTTCGATATTGCTGCTTGCGAGGTCCAGGATCGTAAACGGTGATGAAGTCTGGCTTAACGCCCGACCCGCCTTACCAACACGTCTGGGGGTGCGACAGGGATGAGTGATCCAGTAGGAACTGATGAAGGAGGAAGAGGAGGAGGAGGAGGGGGAGGAGGAGGTGGAGGAGGAGGAGGAGGACGAGGAGGAGGAGGAGGAGGAGGAAGAGGAGGAGAGAAGGAGGAACAGGAGGACCAGTGTAAATCCAAACCGCATTCACGATGTTGCAACAGCACCTCCCTCCTACTTCCTTCTTAATTTATATATATATAAATATATCTGCAGCATTTTTTGGTCATTGCGGGATGTGCCCCATTTGTCGACACTCGTGCAAGAACTTGAAAACGCGCCCAAAGACCATTCCTAGGAGCTTGCGCCGCGAATCAATATTACAGTTGCTTCTTGACGAGCCTGACCCGTGGCAAAACATTATTTCTGGGACTTCAACACCGCGAAGCTAATACACTCTTGCGTCCTGACATTCCTACACCGTGCCAAAACACACCCCCTAGGACTTTGATCGTACGAATCCTTCAACTTTCAGACGAGTGCGCGCGGCGCTACTGCGGCAGCCACATTTTGAAGACGACCCGTCCTCCATCTTTGGACCTGTTGCGCAGTCTTCAGACGAATGTGCGCGGCGTTTTGGCTAGTGCCACATCTTGACACGACCCGCCCCCCATTCTTGAGGCTGTTGCATACATTATGACGGATAGGTGCGGCGCTAAAGCGATAGGGACAGTAAACAAAACCGCCCTCCATTTTCGGTGTAGTTTTCAAGCTCCGGGATCCTAAATGGTACGGAGGCCTCGGGCGAAAGTCTTGGCCCGCCTTGCCATCACGTCAGTGTGTGGGACAGGAAGGAGTTTTGTGTCCCCCTTCTTCTTCCTCTGAGGGGCAAGGAAATGATGAGGAGCAGGAAGAGGACGGATGATGAGGAGGAAGGAGGAGGAGGACGGAGGAGGAGGAGGAGAAGGAGGAGGAGGAAGAGGAAGAGGAGGAGGCGGAGGAGGAGAAGGAGGAGCAGGAGGAGGAGGAGGAGGAGGAGCAGGAGCAGGAGGAGGAGGAGGAGGAGGAGGAGGAGGAGGAGAAGGAGGAGGAGGAGGAGAAGAGGAGGAGGGGGAGGAGGAGGAGGAGGAGGAGGAGGAGGAGAAGGAGCGCGGCGGCCAGCCTGGATGCCGCCCCTGTGCCAGCGCTGCGCGGGGCCTTGCGCAGGTCCAGGAGGTCATGGAGCAGATCGCCGAGTTCCTCGTCAAGTTCAAGCGCGCCCGCGCCAGAGCGCTCCTCGCTCCTCGTCACCATCATCATCGTCGTCGTCGTCGTCGTCGTCGTCCTCGTCCTCGTCCTCGTCCTCGTCCTCGTCCTCGTCCTCCTCGTCGTCCTCGTCGTCGTCGTAGCCGTCCCGTCGTCGTCCCTCCTCCTTCCCTCCTCGCTCCTCGCTTCTCTGTCCCCCTCGTCTCCCCCTTCCCATTCCCGCCTCCCGTCTCTCCCTCCTCTTCCCTTCTCGTCCTCCCTTCCCCCTCCTGCCTCCTCCTCATCCTCCTCCTCCTCCTCGTCCTCGATCTCAGTCCTATGCATCCCCCGCGGCCGGCCGCAACGTCGTTGGCTCTCGGGGACTGCCGAGCCAGCCGACCTTTTTCCCCCTTGCCAGCGCACTTTTGGAACAGCACGGAGGGGGCTCGAGGCTGGTCGATCATCGAGATCTTGGTCCTTCTCCTCCTCCTCGTGCTCGTCCTCGTCCTCGTCCTTGTCGTCGTCGTCGTCGTCGTCGTCGTCGTCGTCGTCGTCGTCGTCTCCCTCATTCTTGTGCCTCCTCTTTCCCCTCTGCGTGCCCCTCCTCCCTCCTCCCTCCCTCCCCACCTCTTCTCCCTGTGAAACATTGCGATTGCAGGTTTTTGGCCAGTTTCCCTGGCCAAAAACGCTGACCCAGACCCGTTAAACGCTGCGCGTGAGGAGGCGTTGGTCCGGCGGGAGGCCCCATGGCCACCCGTTCCTGCGCAAGTTCCTCGTTCCCAGACACCAGGAGGGCAGTACGCCTCGTGCCGCTGTACCTCCCTCTCGTGCCGCTGTTCGTCGTGTGCCTCATCCACCTCGTCCTCTTCCTGGAGTTCGTGGCGGTGGGAGCGTAGGGAGGCGGCCAGGCAGCCGGCGGCGCAGCGGCAGGCGCCGACGAAGGAGCTGGAGGAGATGAGGGAGATGGAGGCGAAGAGGCGCAGGAAGCACTGGGGGCTCAGCACTTCCCCCTGGCGGACCACCCAAGACCGCGCCGAGGCACCCCTCGGCTGGGCCGCCGAGCGGCTTTGGCGGGAGGGCTTGCTCAAGTCTCTCGGGATTGCCACCGCCTGGAGCTCGGCGGGCACGCTGCCGGGCTGGGGCTCCGGGCTCCCGAGCGCACACCCGAGAAGCCTCGCATCGCCGATCTCTTAGCGCGAGAGGTGCAAGAGGCGGAGGAGGAGGCGGAGGAGGAGGAGGAGGAGGAGGAGGAGGAGGAGGAGGAGGAGGAGGAGGAGGAGGAGGATGATGACCAGTGTAAACCCAAAACTAATCCGCGATATTGCAATAAACCCTCCCTCCAAGCTCCCACTCCAGGACCCATTTGCACTGTGGGAAATGCCCCGTTGGAAGACAACCTTTTGAAACTTGAGGAGTTCGCCAGAAAGCCATTCCTGGGACTTCAACGTCGCGAATCACCAGTACTGTTGCGGCTTGACGATCCTGAGTCGTGCCAGAACACCGTTCCCGGAATTTCAACACCGCGAGTCAACGTGATTGCTGCGCCCTGACATTCCGACATAGTGCCAACACACTATTTCGGGGACGCTAACCATGATAATCTGTTAACAACTAGCGCAAACTCTTACGACGAACGTGCGCGGAGTTGCGGCGAACGCTACAATGTGAACAAAAACCCGCCCTCCATCCGTCAAACCCTCTGCATACTGTTGAAACGAATGTGCGCGGCGCCAAGGCGAACGCCACATTTTGAAGTCGGACCGCCCTCTATCCGGCAAACTCTTACAACCTTTAGAACCAAGTGTGCGCGGCGCTTAGGCGAGAGCCACTCTTGCAAGTGTCAAGCTCCAGGATCATACATGGCGAGGAAGTCTCAGGCGAAGCGCCCGGCCCGCCCTTTCGACTGCGGAGCTACTCGTAAAAGGCGGTCGCGCGGCGTGCCCCGCCGCGGCTGCTGGAGATCGGAGCCCCCATAGCCGCTGCCGTTCGATCCTGGTTCTGGCCTCCATGCAGGTCGGGTGGCGCACCGAGGACGACGACGGCGGCGACGGCGACGGCGACGACGACGACGACGGCGTCGACGACGACGGCGGCGACGACGACGACGATGACGGCGACGGCGACGGCGGCGGCGACGACGAGGACGACGTCGTCGACAACGACGACGACGGCGGCGACGACGGCGGCGGCCGCGACGACGACGGCGATCCGCGCCGCCGTGCGCGCCCCGACCTCGACGTCCTGCCCCGAAGACGCCGAGCGCCCCAGGAGGGCCCGAGATGGCTCCAATGATGGCCGACGAGGGCCCCAAGAGTCAGGAGGAAAAGAAACACACAGACACAATGAATCCTCGATTTCCCCAAAAATATGGGAAAATATGGGAAGTGGGCGGGAAGACAGAAACCCAGAAAATATAGGAAAATATGAGGAATATTTTTATTTGTGTGTATTTATTTGTGTGTCCCAGGGCCCCTTCAAAGAGGACCTTCGAGAGGCAAACATCGGCCTGTTCCCCTCGAAAAACGTACGCTTTCAGCATGCTCTCGCTGGCTTCGTCTTTTCGCAGTGCCCCGGACGCCCCCGCGGAGCCCCAGCACGGCCCAAGAGAGACCCAGGAGGGCCCCAGGCGGCCCAAAAGGGTCGGCCTGGGAAGCTCACGGGCCCCCCCGATGCGGCCCAAGAGGCCCCGACGCCGGCCTCAAGGAGGCCCCCAAGACGGCCTCCAGGAGGCCCAAGAGGGCCTCGTTCGACATCACGAAGAGGGCCCCAAGAGGGCCTTCAAGGGGCAAAAATCAGCCCGCTCCCGTAGTAAGACGTACAAATTCAGCATGCTCCTCTGCTTCGTCGCCACAGTGCCCCAACCGCCCCCGCGGCGCCCCAAGACAGCCCAAGAGAGACCCAAGAGGGCACAAGACGGCCCAAAAGGGTCGTCCCGTGGGGCTCACAGAACCCCCCAAGATGGCCCAAGAGGCCCCGAAGACAGCCCAGGAGGCCCCCAACACAGCCTCAGGGAGGTCCAAGAGGGCCCCGTTCGAAATCATGTTCCCGGAAGCCTCTCCAGGAACATGATTTCCGGGCCCCCTCAGCGAGGCCCAAGAGGGCCCGAGATGGGTGGGAGATGGCCGAAGAGGGCCCCAAGAGGGCCTTCAAGAGGCAAAAATCAGCCGGTTCCCGTTGTAAAACGTACATATTCAGCATACTCTTTTGCTTCGTCTTCGCAGTGCCCCAGACGCGTTTGAGGAGCCCCAAGACAGCCCAAGAGAGACCCAAGAGGGCCCAAGACGGCCCAAAAGGGTCGTTCTGTGGGGCTCACGGAACCCCCCAAGATGGCCCAAGAGGCCCCAAAGCCGGCCCAGGAGGCCCCCAAGACGGCCTCCAGGAGGCGCAAGGGGGCTTCGTTCGAAATCATGTTCCCGGAAGCCTCTCCGGGAACATGATTTCCGGGTTCCCAGGACGCCCAAAGACAGCCCCTAGAGGCCCTGGACACGCCGAAGATGGCCTCAGGACGGCCGACGACGCCGCCAAAACGCCCCAAGAGCGCCTCCAGAGGTCCCTCCAAAGGGCCCCAGAAGCCGAAAATCATGCATTTTTCAATGGTTTTTGAAACATTCTTGCGCTCTCCCATGTTCCGCCTCCCCACGGTCCCGGACCGCGTCAGAGGCCCTTCAGATCGCTCCAAGACGGCCGAAGAGGTTCCCAAGAAAGCCCAGAGACGGCCCAGGAGGCTCCCCAGATAAGTCAAGAGGGCCTCGAGAGCGCCCCAAGAGAGCCCCAAGAGCGACCCAAGAGGGCCCGAAGAGCGCGACATTTCAATGTCTCCGGCCCGAGAGGCTCCTAGGACGCCCCCGGAGGCCATCAAGAGGCTCCCAAGAAGCCCCGTGAGGCTCCCAAGAGGCCCCCCGGAAGCCCCAATAAGCCCCCAATGGGCCCCCAGGGAAGCCCCCTGCGGGCCCCCAAGACACTTCTTCGGTAAGTCGTATTTCCCATACAGCTTTCCGGGAAGATGATTCCTTGGGCTTCCGCCCACCGCCCCAACCATGTTTCCAATAGGCTTGCCGACACGGCCAAAAGGCGCCCCTCGCCCCCAGAGGCCCCCCTCTTAGAGAGCCGAACAAATCATGCTCCCGGAAAGCTTCCCGGGAACATGGCTCTCTATCTCGGAGTAGGCCCAGCGGGGGGAGTGGGCCGCTGCCTGTTCCCCCCATCGGTGCCCACCGGGGGTTGCGGGGGGGGTCCAGAGCTCCCGAGGCGGCCCGAGCCCGCCCCGAAGCAGGCCACGACAGGCTAAGGGGTCCCGAGAGGGCCCAAGACGGTCCCACGAGGCCCCGAAGACGCCCAAGATGCCCTCAAGACAGCCGACGAGGACTCCAACACGCTCCAGGACGGACTCAAGAGGCTCCCCAAGAGGGCCCTGGGAGGCAATATTTGCTCGTTTTCTGAGTGTTTTGGATTTTGGCGTTCTCGCTTTTCCCGCTTTCCAGCGCTCCCTCTCGGCCTCGGAGGCCCTTCAGATCGCTCCAAGACGGGCCACGAGGCCCCGACGAGGGCTCCAAGACGGCCCTGGATGCGCTCCAGACAACCCAAGTGTGCCCCAAGAGCTCCCCAAGAGAAGGCTCAGAGGGGTCCCGAGGCGGCCCGGGCCCGCCCCGAAGCAGGCCACGACAGGCTAATGGAGGTCCCGAGAGGGCCCTAGACAGTCCCAGGAGGCCCCGAAGACGCCCAAGATGCCCTCAAGACGGCCGACGAGGACTCCAACACGCTCCAGGACGGACTCAAGAGGTTCCCCAAGAGGGCCCTGGGAGGCAATATTCACTAATTATCCGATGGTTTTTGAAGGATTTAGGCGTTCTCGCCTCCCCCGCTACCCAGCGCTCCCTCACGGCCTCGCTCGGAGGTCCTTCAGATCGCTCCAAGACGGGCCACGAGGCCCGGAAGAGGCCCCCAAGACGGCCCAGGAGGCTACCCAGACAACCCAATTGTGCCCCAAGAGCTCCCCAAGAGAGGGCCCAGAGGGGGACCGCCAACCGATATTTCGAGGTCTCTGGCCCTAGAGGCCGCCTGTACGCCCCCGGAGGCCACCAAGAGGCCCCCACGAAGCCCCGTGATGCGCCCAAGAGACCCCCAGGAAGCCCCAAGAGACCCCCAAGGGGCTCCCAGGAAACGCCCAAGAGGGCCCCCAACACACCTCAAGAAATCATGTCCCCAGAAAACCTTCCGGGGACATGGTTCATCATGGGCCCGAGAGTTCCCGGAGGCCCCCAAGGGGCCCCCAGGGAACGCCCAAGAGACCCCCCAACACACCCCAACAAACCATGTCCCCAGACAGCCGTCTGGGGACATGTTTCATCATGGGCCCGCGAGTCTCCGGAGGCTTCGAAGTACCATCATGCTACAGGAGAGCTGTCTGGGAAGTTGATTGGGAACATGACTGATCGCCTTCTCGCGGCCCTCCGCAGATCGTTTCGCACAAAGTTGCCCCAAGTTCCCTCTTGAACCGACGACGACGACGACGAAGCGACGACGACGACGACGACGAAACGACGACGACGACGACGACGACGACGACGACGACGACAACCACGACCACGACCACGACGACGACGACGACGACGACGACGACGACGACAACCACGACCACGACCACGACGACGACGACGACGACGACGACGACGTTGACGACGACGACGACGACGACGACGACGACGACGACGACGACGACCCAATAGGCGACGACGACATTACGACGACGACGATGACGGCGACGACGGCACGCCCCAACAAGCTCCCCAAGACGCCCCAAACTATGCTCCCAGACGGCCTTCTGTGAACCCGATTCATACGGCCTCCGCCCCTCTACACAACCATTTTCCTCGAAGGCCTTTCCGAATGCAGATTGGCATACGTGGACTGTGGTCCACTACTTCAGTGGAGCAATGACTTCGTCAAGGTCTGGGGCCTGCTAGAACCTGAGCGCGCGCGATGGTTCTAGTATATATATATATATATATATATATATATTTGAAAGCCCTCCTGCCAGTGTCGCCGATCCGAGGCGCTCCAGATGCTGGTGGTTGACACGGCGACGCCGGCGATGACGACGACGACGACGACGACGATGGCGACCTCGACGCCGACAACGGACGACTTACGACTGAC